ATGCGTAGACAATTGTCCATACTATTTTCTTTTAAATTTGTAAGGGCCGTGGATAATTGCCAGCCTTACTGTCCTGCTCGTGTTTTTTTTTAGTCAGAGGAGCAGAGCGATGAGCAAGCTTCTAAATAAAATAAGATTTTAAGAGAAGATTCTAAAACAGGTAATAAAAGAAACTTCTAAAAGAAGCTTCTAAAGAACATTCTGCAAAAAGCTTTTAAAGAAGATTCTAAAGAAGCTTCCCAAGAAGATTCTAAAAGAAACATCTAAAGAAGATTCTAAAAGAATCTTCTAAAGAAAATTCTAAATATTTTAAAGAGGATTTTAAAATCAAGTTTTGAAGAATATTCTAAAAGAAGCTACTGAAGAAGATTATAAAAGAAGCGTCTAAATAAGATTTGAAAAGAAGCTTCTGAAAAAGATTTTAAAGCAGCTTCTAACGAAGATTCTAAAAGCAGCTTCTGAAGATGATTCTAAAAGAAGATGCTAAACGAAGCTTCTAAAGAAAATTGTGGAAGATGCTTCTTGAGAAGATTCTAAAGAAACTTCTAAAGAAGATTCTAAAAGAAGCTCTTAAAGAAGATTCTAAAGAAGCTTCTCAAGAAGATTCTAAAAGCAGGTTCTGAAGAAGATTCTAAAAGAAGCATCTAAAGAAGATTCTTAAAGAATCTTCTAAAGAAAATTCTAAATATTTTAAAGAGGATTCTAAAATCAGGTTTTGAAGAATATTCTAAAAGAAGCTACTGAAGAAGATTATAAAAGAAGCGTCTAAATAAGATTTAAAAAGAAGCTTCGGAAAAAGATTTTAAAGAAGCTTCTAACGAAGATTCTAACAGCAGTTTCTGAAGATGATTCTAAAAGAAGATGTTAAACGAAGCTTCTAAATAAAATTCTGGAAGATGCTTCTTAAGAAGATTCTAAAAGAATTTTCTAAAGAAGATTCTACAAGAAGCTTCTAATGAAGATTCTAAAAGAAGCTTCTAGAAAAGCTTCTAAACATAATTCTAAAAATATCTTTTAAAGAAGATTCTAAAAGCAGCTTCTGAAAAAGCTTCTAAAATTAGTTTCTAAAAGAAGCTTTTAAAGAAGCATTTAAAATAAGCTTCTGAAGATTAAAAAAAAAGTTTCTAAAGAAGATTTTAATCGAAGCTTCTAAAGAAGATTTAAAATAAGATTCTAAAAGAAAATTCTAACTAAGCTTCTGAAGAAAATTCTAAAAGATGCTTCTCAAGAAGATTCTAAAAGGAGCTTCTACAGAAGATTCTAAAATAAGCTTCTAAAGAAGATTCTAAAAGAAGCTTCTAAAGAAGATTCTAAAAGAAACTTCTAAAGAAAATTCTAAAAGAAGATTCTAAAGAAGCTTCTCAAGAAGATTATAAAAGCAGGTTCTGAAGAAGATTCTAAAAAAAGCATCTAAAGAAGATTATAAAAGAAGATTCTAAAAAAAATTCTAAAAGTAGTTTCTGAAGAAAATACTAAAAGATTCTAAAAGAAGCTTCTGAAGAAAATACTAAAAGATTCTTAAAGAAGATTCTATAATAAGCAACTAAAGAAGATTCTAAAAGAAGCTTCTAAAGAAAATTATAAAGAAGCATCTCAAGAAGATTCTAAAAGCAAGTTCTGAAGAAGATTCTAAAAGAAGCATCTAAAGAAGATTCTGAAAGAAGCTTCTAAAGAAAATTTTAAAAGAAATAAAAAAAAGCTTCTAAAGAGGATTCTAAAATCATGTTTTGAAGAAGATTCTAAAAGAAGCTACCGAAGAAGATTCTAAAAGAAGCGTCTAAATAAGATTTTAAAAGAAGCTTCTGAAAAAGATTTTAAAGAAGCTTCTACTGAAGATTCTAAAAGTAGCTTCTGAAGAAGATTCTAAAAGAAGATGCTAAACGAAGCTCCTAAAGAAAATTATAGAAGATGTTTCTCAAGAAGATTATAAAAGAAACTTCTAGAAAGGTATCCTTTAAAAAAGTCTCTAAATTTAAATACGCCTATAAAAGAATCTTCTGAAGAAGATTTTAAAATAAGCTTCTAAAGAAGATTTTAAAAGAAGATTCTAAAGGAAAATTCTAAGAGAAGCTTCTGAAGAAAATACTAAAAGATTCTTAAAGAAGTTTCTGAAGAAGATTCCAAAAGAAGCTTCTTCAGAAGATTATAAAAAAAGCTTCTAAATAAGATTCTAAAAGAAACTTCCAAAGAAAATTCTAAAATAAGCTTATAAAGAAGATTATAAAAAAGCTTCTCAAGAAGACTCTAAAAGCAGGTTCTGAAGAAGATTCTAAAAGAAGCATCTAAAGAAGGTTCTAAAAGAAGCTTCTAAAGAAAATTTTAAAGAAACTTAAAAGAAGCTTCTAAAGAAGATTTTAAAGAGGATTCTAAAATCAGGTTTTGGAGAAGATTCTAAAAGAAGCTATTGAAGAAGATTTGAAAAGAAGCTTCTGAAAAAGTTTTTAAAGAAGCTTCTAGCGAAGATTCTAAAAGTAGCTTCTGAAGAAGATTCTAAAAGAATATGCTAAAGGAAGCTTCTAAAGAAAATTCTAGAAGATGTTTCTTAAGAAGATTAAAAAAAAAAAGATTCTAAAAGAAGCTTCTAGAAAAGCTTCTAAACATAATTCTAAAAGTATCGTTTATAGAAGATTCTAAAGGCAGTTTCTTAAAAAGATTCTAAAGGAAGTTTCTAAAAAAAGCTTTTAAAGAAGCCTTTAAAAGAAGCTTCTGAAGAAGATTTTAAAAGAAGATTCTAAAAGAAGATTCTAAAGAGGATTCTAGAAGAAACTTCTAAAGAAGATTCTAAAAGATTCTAAAAGAAGCTTATGGAGAAAATTCAAAAAGATGCTTCTCAAAAAGATTCTAAAAGAAGCTTCTAAAGAAAGTTCTAAAAGAAGCTTCTAAAGAAGATTCTTAAGAAGCTTCGCAAGAAAATACTAAAGAAGCTTTCCTAGAAGATTCTAAAAGTAGGTTCTGAAGAAGATTCTGAAAGAAGCATCTAAAGAAGATTCTAAAAGAAGCCTCTAAAGAAAATTCTAAAGAAGATTTTAAAGAGGATTCTAAAATCAGATTTTGAAGAAGATTCTAAAAGAAGCTACAGAAGAAGATTCTAAAAGCAGCTTCTGAAGATGATTCTAAAAGAAGATGCTAAACGAAACTTTTAAAGAAAATTCTAGAAGATGCTTCTTAAGACGATTCTAAAATAAGCTTCTAAAGAAGATTCTAAAAGAAGCTTCCAATAAAGATTCAAAAGAAGCTTCTAAAGGAGATTTCAAAATAAGCTTCTAAAGACGAATCTAATAGTAGCTTCTAAAGACGATACTGAAAAATTCTTCTACAGAAGAAAAGAAGCTTCTGAAGAAGATTATAAAAGATCCTTTCGAAGAATATTATAAAAGAAGTTTCTCAAGAAGATTCTAAACAAGCTTCTCAAGAAGATTTGAACAGCAGCTTCTCAAGAAGATTCTACTAGATGATTCTAAAAGAAGCTTCTTAAGAATAGTCTAAAAGACGCTTCTGAAGAAGATTCTAAAAGCAAGATCTAAAGAGGATGCTAAAATTAGCTTCTTAAAAAGGTTCTAAACGAGACTTCTAACGAAGATTCTTAAACAAGCTTCTCAAGGAGATTCTAAAGGAAGCTTCTAAAAAAGATTCTATATGAAGCACTGATGAAAATTCTAAAAGATACTTTTTCAGAAGATCTTTAAAAAAAGCTTTTAGATGAAGTTTTTAAAAGCTTTTAAAATAAGCTTCTAGAAGAAGTGTCTTAAGAAGACCCTAAATGAAGCTTCTTTTGGAAGCTCACTCTATTTAAATGCTTGCCTGCATGACAGTAAATCTGAATAGCTACGCAGGAAAGGAACGTTTTTCGATGTTTTAAGAAGCATTTTATCGTTCATCACTTCTCACAGGCATTCGTTAAAACTTTAGGTTAGCTTTTTTTCATTTTTTTTTCCTGATGTTTCTTCCATTTGCTGCTACAACTTCTACCTGTTTCTCCTGGTCCCCCGATTTTGTGTGACAAACCTAGATGGACCAAATTATTAAAATTAAAATATCATCATCTGTAGGGCTATTCATAAGCTATGTAGGCAGTTTTTGAGAGATTTTGAAGCGTTCTAGATCAAGATCCAATTTGCCTCAATCGGAGTATTTTCCCGTAGCCGCTCCAGCGAACACCTGCGTTGACTAAGGTTCGTTTCATGTCATTTAGCATGTCAAGGAAGTGGTCCAGCTGGACCTGACCTGCTAAACTTGACTTCTAACTTCAGTTCTAGCCGTGGAAGCCATGAAAAGGAAGAAGGCTGACGGGATGGGTTTAGACCTCGCAGTGGAATTGAGAAGTGAAGCTCTCGATCTACACTTTGAACTCGTTTCCGGATGAGCATAAGGTACTACGGATGTTTACTGTCATGGTCGCTAGGAATCCGACCATCCAATACCCCATCCCAAGTAAAATTTTGGTTTTATAAGGGTTCTGTAGAGCATAATTTAGACTTTTAGAACGCTATAAAACCTCTATAAAGCTTGCAATGTTACTTGGGATGTGCCGGGAAAAGTGACCAAAACCCATAACTGATACATTCCTGATTCCCCGGTGGACGTGAATGAAGGAAGAGCTGCTAGATTCAACCTGTGCATTAAGACTTGAATTTCTACAACCGACAGTTTCTAGACCAGGTGGAGCAGATTTACGTTAAATTACACTAGGATTAGTGACAGAATTAATTGTTTAGGGAAAAACACATAATTAGCAACACCAACCACAGATGTGTGTATGCGTGTGTGTGTGTGTGTGTGTGTGTGTGTGGAAAGTGTAGGTATGCAGCAAAGAAGTGATGTGAGGATAAGGAAAATTATGTCACAAAAAAAGAGACAACCAAAGAGAGACAGAGAGAGAGAGAGAGAAAGAGAGTGAAAAACAGGAGCTTCAAACTTTGGGGGGTTTTCCCCCCGGTCAGTCGCGTCAGTCGTCTGCTACGACGGTGCATGGTCTCTATCCTAAACCTACTAGCACTCACCATTGTTGGTGGGCGTGGGTGACGAGATGGTGGGACTTATCAGCGTCTGGGACCCCGTGTTGAACAGCGTCTCGACGCTGGACTGCTGCTGCTGTTGGAATAGGCTCTCTTGCTGCATGGCTGCGGTGATACGTGGATCCTCCCACGTGGTGGTTCGCGTGTTGTGACTGTTGGGAAAGAAAAGGGAGAGAAGGTCGATTAGTAAAACCGAGCGCTGAAACTACGGGGGTTTCCAAGGAAACCTTCTGATGGTAAACATTGCTCAAGTTCAGGTACGATACGGTACGTTTTGGCGTACTTGTTTGGCTTCGTTCGATAAGTGCGCATACAAACACACGTACACCCGATCTACACCGGTGCAGTGGCTGTCGGTAATGTGGGGATATCCCCATGAGTGGAGGAACCTTTTTGTTTCCAAGAAATGGGGCGACATCACGTACGGCACGTTTTTCCAGTGACTCGATTGGCGAAGCAATTTCCGAAACATGTGGGCCTGGGCTGCGCTTGTGGTGTAGACGGGGCCTGGTCACACGTGTTTTTTTTTTCTTTGATGTATTCGATACATCAACATCGCAAACCAACGTCATGACGATGGAGCTACGTAGAATATTAAAAAACGCCAAATAAGCCTCAAAACTGCATAATTGCTTGAATCCTGGAAAAGTATCCTTGAAACGTAGCGCCACAAATAGCCAACATATTGCTAAAATGACAAATTTTTGTTGCTCCATGCGTGAAGTTGACGATTACAAAGTTGAAGGAAATGCTTTACTAATATCAAAATGAGACTGAAAACTGTTTTCAAGTTACAGCTGCCCTGCACAATTTTTTTTTAATTTGGGAACTCCCAGGACTGACTTTGTCCATTTTACAGAATATTCGTGGACATAATTAGACCTTAAAGGAGAACTTCAAAAGAATTCGTAGAAGCATTTCAAGCTTTGACTTGCATGCCGAACTAATTTTGAGGTGAACTTAGAGGAATTAATGAGGAAAGCATAAGAAAATTTCAAGGTTGTGAGTAGAATTCCAAGGGAACGAGCAACATTCGTATAGAATTCTGAAATTAATTCAATGAAAATACTGAGAATAATTTCACACAATTTCTGAGGAGAATTTTAAGGTTATTCCTAGGATCAATCTAAGGAAATTGAATTCCAAAAACAGGTCCATCTAATCTAATAATCGCAGGAAATTCCTAGGTGCATTCCATCGTAATTCTGGTGATATTTTTAGAGAATTTAAGAAAGAAAGAAAGAAAGAAGCATTTCAAAGCCCTTATGGGACCACTCCACGAGAATTCGGAGCATATCTTAAATAGAATTCCAAGAGTAATTCCATGAGAATTTCTGGAGAATACTACGTGAAAGATCAAGATGATTTATATGTAACACAGCAAACACAAAATGTCAAGATCCAGGGTATAGAAAAACAAAACTAAAATTCTGAGACTTCTTTTTAAATTTCGTGATTGGAAAATTGTATGATCCTGCTGGAGAGAAATCTTCAACATTCGGGCAGTTTTATTTCAAATTCAATACTCCGGGTTTGGACATGGAGAAATTTCCAAGATTCTGGAACATGAGAAGTTTTCAAGATTTGAAACTAATAGAAATATTAGAAATGCTTAACTTTGAAATGCTTGTAAGATTGCGAACATGAAATAAATCAAATGTCTGAGACATTTGTGTTGTTGTTGTTGTTGATTTTTTTTTTAAGATCATGAATTTGGAATTAGAATTAGGAACATTAAGACTTTGATTTATGTTTTTCGATCTTAGACTTAGTAAAATTAAGTACATGTTCAACTTTTAAAGGGATTGATTGTAAAGCTGTTCCCTTAAAACTGATTGTACTATCTAAAAACCGTTTATGGCATTTCAATATTGATTTACCAAAAATAACAGGCTTTTTAACACATTCCTAAAAACCTGGAAATTGTCCATAAAAGTTCTTGAAAACAATTGGCAAACTCAGGGAATTTTTTTCAGCTAAAAAATGGCATTAGATACATCAGTTAGTGAATTAGAACAGTGGTTCTTAAACTTTTATTGACTGCGATCCACTTAGATAATCTTCAGAAACTCGCGATCCAACAACATTAAATGTTCTTAACAATGATCAAAACGCCGAAAAAGTTTAAAATTTGTGAGATCCCCAAAATGCTCGCGGTTTTAGGTGCAAATGACACATTGTATTGTCACGTTGCTAAATCATCAATATTATTGTCAATAGTGACAGCACTGTGTGCCTCAAACAAACTTGTTTTTTTCATTTCCAAATTCATTCCTGTTCGGTTTCAGAAAGCTGTTATTCCGAAAACATTTGCGTCACTCTTCGTCGAACCCGCCGAAACTGTGCCATTTTCCGATGTTGTTCGTTGCTGTGTAGACTTTACGGGCACGCGGAAGTAGGGGAAGGGAGGTGCACGCCACGAGAATGACAGAAAGCGAGAGCAAAACAAAAACAACCTCGCGCACGTTTAACAACTGGCGATCTTCGCACAGCATGCACGCATCAACATCGGACTTGTTTTTTTTTTTTTTGGTTGGAGAACATTACTGTTTGCTAAAAATAAATCCATTCCTAAACAAATTTGCGCTCGCACACCAAGAACGCAACTCATGGAAAAACAGTTGCCCGGACTTTTCGGCTGTTTTGGACCTAAAATGTGCGTGATTTTGTCTGATTCGTGCGTGCGTGCGGACGTCATCAGAAGATGGAGAATTTGATAATCGGTTTTTATCCACCCACACTCACATTCGGATCGTGGTTGTGGGGGTGTGTGTGTGCGGTGATTTATTGCAGAGACTACCTATATCGACGTCGAAGTGTACTGCGATAGCGCTCGTTTAGCTCGGTCGTCTGCGTCTCTTCGTAGCCGTGAAAAGCGGGCGGCTGTGCACGCGAACCAAGTCAGCCTGTCCACCGTCGGTGCTTTTCGGCTCAAGGCCGAACACGGCCTGTCTGGTTTTACCTACTTAGCTAAGAACGTATCCGGATTTGGGAGAGTAGCCAAAAATGATCCGAATAGACATGGCATTAGAGCATTTTCCAGCCCAAATAGCAAAAACAATCTGAGTTTTTAGACGCGTCGCTTCTCCGATTTGCATGAAACTTTGCTAAATTGGTTGTTATGGTCAATCATTTACATTTGAGCTACATTCGGGCATTTTGAAGCATGCAAAAAAAAAAAAAAATCAAAATAAGGGTTTTAGAAATTTTTCAACAAATCATAATTTGAAAATGTTGCTTCCAATCAAAATGACGTCTGAGACAAAGTTGTAGGAAAAAATAATTACTTTTCAGAAAAAAATGTACACGGTAGAATTTTTTTAGTTATTTTGGGTAAACAACCCAAAAAAGTTTAAAAAAGTATACAAATTCATGCATTGGTTGGCATAGAAAGCTCTCAATTAATATAACTGTGGAAGTGCATCTAGAACACTAAGTTAAGAGTCGGCAAAACGCTCGCTAAAGAAGCGTAAAATGCCTAGAAGAAGATTAAGACTTCAACTAAAGCAGATATTACATCTCATGAGGTTTTTCAGTAAACTTCTAGAACAAGCCCGAATGTATTAATGGTGGAGAGTTAAGCCCTGAGATTGTGCGACGCAAGTTCAGTGGAAGAATCATGGGTATTACTCGGAAAATCTATGGATCTTTTGAAGCCTGTTTAGAACTTAAGAAGCATATGTCTTGAAGTGTCTGAAGAGACAAGGCACCTCTGGAGTTAACCGATAAGTCTTCTGGTATTAATCATTAAGATCTTTTAAGTAAACCCAAAAAGACTCTGGAGTTGATTGGCAAGGAAATATTCACGGTGGCCACTGAGCCGGGAAAACCGGGAGAACCTTGAATTAACCTGCAATCGAAACCAACCGGGAAAAACCGGAAAATTGATTGCATTCTCTGAATATATTGGATTCCCCTGCATAATTTTATGATTTTCTCTGGCATACCCTTGATATTTGTTTTATCCATAACAGCCTTAAAAACTTTCTATATACCACTTTAGGAAACCCTTAGAATTCACCCTACGACGATTCCCTTTGCTTTATCTCCATAATTCTCTTTAAAAGTTACTGAATCTTATCCTTGGAATATTCCTATTTTTTGAGTTTATCTCAGAATTGTCTTGTAAATCTAAGCAGCTTTCTAGAAATTTTCAGGAATTTATTTCTAGGAATTCTCTTGAAATTCAGCTCAGAATACTCAATTCATCCTCCCCGAATTCGCTTTAAATTCCCTTGAGATTATTTTCCAACTTTGGCGCGTTCGAATTGCTCATATACTGTCATATAGGTAGTGGTAAACGTTGCTAAAACTATTACACAGCCGCAGACACTATATGAGCAAGTCAAATGCGCACTTTTTTGCCTGTGGATTTGAGGGCATACCTCAAATCTCCTCATCCATCAATGTATGAGTTAGGTAAAAGAGTATGCGTTTGATTAGTACTGTCGCATTAATGGCGCTTCGCTCAATTTCAACTTCTATTCAATTTCCACCCTGCCGTACTCTAGGGGAACTATCAATTTATCCTCTTCAGAACTTGCTCTAGCTAATAAATTGTCGCACCAAAGCTTCAAGTTGATATTAGTATAGCATTTCCTCCCATCTCTGAAAATCGTATAAAGTAACAAAACACAATCAAAGTGTCGACATTTTAAGAAAATTATGAGGTGAATTGCATGGAAATTCTAAGGAGAATTCAACTGAATTAAACAATAAATTGGAAGGAAGCTCCAGTGAATTCTTTGAACTTGAATTTTCATAATTTGAAGAGAGTTTATGAATGAATTCCATGGATTTTTTGCAGATAATTTTTGGGCTGTTAAAAAGAAATTTCCAAGGGATTCCAAGAGAGACTCTCAAATTTATTTAAGAACAATTCTGAAAAGCATTCTGCGAAGGGAAATGATTCTCAAGGAAATGCTTGAGTACAATCCAATAAAATCGTGTACAGAGCTTTATGTTCAAGAAAGCTAGAACGTAGACAAATTTAGTAGTCTTCCAACGGAAAACCATATTCAAGATCAAGATTCAAAATGCTGCCGGTTTAGTAATGATCCATTCAACCTAGCGATCTCCTCGGCTCAATCGCATTCGGTTTGATGCTTAACTTAAATGTATATCGCACATCCGGGAAAAATCTGGTAATTGA